GCTATAATATTAGAAACTCCATCGGTAAAGAAATATTTATTGTAATTGGGTGACTAGTTCACTCAAGCACATATTACAAACTAAATATATAATCCGTATTAATATTATAAATGAGAGAATTTGTGAGTATGTATGGATGTTTGTTATTCTTTCACGCCAGAACGGTTAAACAGATTTGGATAAAATTTGGCACAGAGATAGATTATAGTCTGAAACAACACATAGGCTACTTTTTATCTCGGAAAAATGTACGGTTTCCATGGGATAGGTTTATGTTTTCTTAGAGGTGAACCCGAGCGAAGCAAGGGTGAGCCGCTAGTATTTTTATTTATAGAGAAATGTATGACGAGACTAAGTCAGATGACTTGCGGGCACTTGAAATTAACATTTCATATGTGAAAGTTCAGTCAAATTAAGTTTCCTTGGAGCGTGCAAAAGAAAGAAATATCCTGTCTACTCGAAATCATAACCGGATAAAAATTAAATCAGTTCCTCACAAACCCTCACTTTTAATACTGAAACTTCTTTTAAAACTTTATTGGTCTTTTAACTGTTAATCTCGTCCTCGCTTACGAGTTAAGAAATTCTTTCTATATATCTTTTGAAATTCAGCTTCGAAGATACAATGAGGATAAATTCTCACAAGATTAAGTTTTAAAATATTTATTATAGTTCAAAAGCTTTTAATTTAAAATATTACAAAAGTTTTTATAATATTTCATAAGGTTGGATTTGTTAAACGGATCTACCCAGACCTTTAGAGTACATAACCCTAAAATTAAAAAAAAAATCCACGCTGAAATTAAGCTTATATAATATTACAAAAAAATATTTCTTACTTAATTTATATAATTCCCCATACAAACTTTCATCCCCATTTTTACCCTCTTAAGGGATGATTTCCAGGATAAAAAGTATCCTACGTCCTTCCCAGGGTCTCAAACTATTTAACGATTTTACGGTTCTGTAGATCCAAGATTACTACTACAACCTCACAAGCTCACAATCTCACAAACTCACAAGCTTTATCTCTTTATAATATTAGTATAGATAAATAAAGCATGTTTTAAAAAAACCCGCGCTGTCGTGGTTTTTAAAAGTAAAAAACGAATGAAAGCTTGTTACAATTCTAAAGTCGACCTCTCCTCGAGTATTATTTAATATTATACCCATAATATTATAATAGTAGTATTATTTTCTTAAAATCAACAAACAACAACAAAATAAGTTAAATCGGCTTTTAGAAAATATATTCACTTAACAGAAACATTGTTTACTTATTATAAAAAATTAACTCTTCAATTTTTTATTATACCGATTCTCTATAGTAAAAAATTGAAGTATGTTTGTTTGAGTGCACTAACCTCTAGATATACTGATCCAATTTGAAAAGTTTTTGTGTTTATAGCCTATTTACTAAGGAAGGCTATATTACATAATACCATGACATACGAGAGCGGAGCAATTCTACAAAATTAAACAACGGAGACAAAGCCACGAGAAAAAGCTAGGAAAAATATATTAATATAGCCCCAAGCACCACACCTTCATATATGTATTTCAATTGACATGATACACCATCTTAATATGGCATCGCATTATATCGCTCCGCGGGAGCTCGTAATCATATAAAATGGGGTCGCATTGAGAAAGTGAATTAAGAATGTAGTTTCACTTTGACGCTTAAAATTTACGTAAGTTGGGACAAGCCTTTACCTGTTCTTTTCTTATTTTAATAACTATCTAGTCTAATATATATTTTTATTAGCTGTAGACCGCGAGTTTCATGAGTCATTATGTGTCCTCAGTTCGAGCTTTGGGTTGGGCCAAAAGTCTTATAAAGTTTTATTATTAAATGATTCGTAATGATTTATGAAAGTTTGAGAAAAACATATATGAATTGAATTTATGTAGCTATTAAAAATAAGGTTTCCCAATTTATTTTTTATAACATTTATCAATAGCCTACAAACTTAAAAAAACTATTTAGTCTGAGCCTGAGTCTTTTCCTATATATAGATGAGATATCCTCTTTAGGTGGTCTAGGTGGATAAATCTTTCTCAATAAATAGTTTACCGTGTGTAATATTGTGTGTTTGTTAACTAGTTTTATTTCATTTTTTTCAAGTTATCACTGTCCACTGCTGGATGAAAGCCTCCTCTATACGCACTGAGTAAAGACCCACGTCTTGAGAGCTACATAATCCTCCTTTATATAAGAACGAATGACGTATTGATTTATTACGACGAGTAAGAACCTACTTGGTCAATATATTGAAATAATTAGATTTACGTCAAATGATTTTCTTGTGCTAAGAATGTATTGCGAAAAATTACTTAAGAGCTCGTCATCCATACTAATATTATAAATGTGAAAGTGTGTTTATTTGTTCGTTTGTCCACTCGTTTTCGACGTGAACGTCAAAAATGAGTGACGGATTGGCGTTTTTTTTTTGTGTGAAGATTATTGGAGGACTGGAGAGTGATATAAGCTACTTTTTACCGTTGGAGATTATCTAATTCTAACGATCAAATAAATACGTTATAATACAATCCAAAAAATATTTATGATCACTATTACTTGAAACTAGGTATAATGCTCTTCAATACAATTAAATAAATACGTGTTTTAGCATTTTTCGAAATACACCCTATAAGGGGATAAAATAGGGGATGAAAGTTTGTATGAAACTACCTTTTTAGAGATTTTTTTGTAGTTTTAGCGCGAGCGAAGCCGCGGGTTCTGCTAGTATAAAATAATTACTTTTCGACAAATAAGGTGCAAAATCTTCAAAATCACTCAAAAATTCAACCGATTCGACCGTTAGATTTAAATTATTCGAACCTTAGGGCTGTTTGAAACATATATGGGTATATCTATAATAACACATGATATAAATTTAAAAAGTAATTAATAAAATAACTTACTATTATTGGCTAACAGATGAAGATATCAAATAACATAATAAATAACAACAGAAATCATTCATTTAATAAAAATATGATAGGTAAAATTCAATAGATATATTCTTCTTTTTGAGGTCTGTCTATAAAATTAATCAAACGTAAATAATTGAAAAACTCCATTGAAAAAGTAATAAAGCATTAGGTTTTGCCAAGTATATAACGAGATTTAGAAAATATCATACTTTTATGATTACAGTGTATTTTGTCAAGAAATATAAATGAAAAAAAAAATATCAATGAATATAAAAGAAATATAAAAGCAAAAAAAATAATTTTAACAAACTAAGCATTTCAGAGATTCGTGCGTTGATTAAAAAAAAGCAGTCATGAGGACTACCGACAGAAGTGAAAACTTAAAACTATAAACAAACAGTTGCTATTATTGGATATTCAAATTGGATTATTCTTAAATTGAAATTTGTAAATTAAACCTGTTTACATTTATCTAGTTTCGACATCTATCGGCACTCTGAGTGTTAGCGTTAACACGTCACGTGACCATGTCCATGACGACTTACATGAATTTACTCCCCATCCAAACCTACCTATAGAAGTTTTCACTTCAAAACAATTGTTAAACTTCAGAAAAGTTTTAGAATACCTAAGTTCTGAATCTATTAAAAGATGGTCGGTGCTGCTCAAGTAATTTTTAATAGGCAAGCCGTGAGCTTGCAAGTTTAAAAATGTGTTTCTTTTTTTCGTTCTAATGGCTGGACACGGACTCCATTATATAAGTTTATTGATAGTTTACATTTCCGAAATTATACTAACAAGCCAGCATTTTATCAAAGAAAATTATTTATGTATGTATGTATGTACTTCATGGTAACTTTTCCCTAGGGTCCTTTTCTAATTTAACTAGATATGTACGTACCTACGGTCTATTTTTGGTGTTGCTATTTTGTATACCTAATTTGTTGTATCGACGATAAAAGTCATGAATGAAATTACATTACAATGTTGTTTATTACAACATGTACGAGGGGAATTTTCCTGTCATCATTATTTCTGGATTGTTTATACATATTTCGCCTTGCGGTGAAGTAATTACATCAAAAGTTTGATACTATTTGTGTAAATTCATACGAAATCCTTATTTGTCCCAAAAATACGCACCCTAAAAATACTAATTACGAAAGTTATTAAATATTTTAGTATAGCAGTAATTTTACTTTGTTATCCTACTTTAGGATAAGGACAATATCTATATATAAATAGACAAGGACAAATCAGTTTAGTACGTTTTTCTCCTCTATTTGTCAAACGAATTTCCTTTTCAAATGACTTCCTCAAAAAGGAGGATGTTCTCAATTCGGCTGTATTTTTTTTTATGTTTGTTACCTCAGAACTCCGTCATTTATTAATCGATTTGGACAATTTTTGTGTTTGAAAGTGTATACTTTCAGATTGGTCCCATTTAAATTAAAAAAAAAACCACCCCTAAGGGTGGAAAAATAGCTAATGATGAATTTAACCTACTTCTAATTGTCATATTAACTTGAAATTTTGCAAGTGTTTCTATTTCCGTTGATAGTACAGTGGTTCGGTATTGTTGACCTGATCTGATGGTAAGGCCAGAAGGTGGATAGGTGGAGTTCTTCAACAGCTAATAGTAGATACTTTGAGTTTTGGCTTATTTTGTTTGATTTGACAAGCCTAACACGTTAGAATACTTACTGTGCTATTACTGTCTACACTAAGAAGGGAAAAATAAAAACTTTTTAACAAAAAAATAAAACCGACTTCAAACAAAAGCACTAAAAAGTAAAAAATAACTGATTGTTAGTTTTCATTTACTATACATACCTAATCAAATATTTTCGAAGTCGGTGTGCTTTGCTTTATATGGGCTGGCACCGATTTCGGAAATATTAAATTAGGTATGTATTTAATAGGTAGGCTTTAATTACTTAGCCAAAGCAGAGTGTAAATTCTAAAAACATTTCACCCATGATGTTGAAATAATTAAAATCAAGGTGCTTTTGAAGTTGAAATAAGTCACTTATTATTTTAAAAGTACGTTTTAAGCTTACCAAACAGTAATAGCAGAAGATCGCTCAAAGCCAGGCTGAACAAGTAGTAGTTGGTGTCGGTGTGCATCGCCGGGTGTCGCACAATCACTACACAGACAGCAACATTGCCGATCACTCCGGTTAAAAAGATTAACAATAAAAATATAGTTATTGGAACTATTCTGAGCAGAGGAAGCCGTCGGGGGCCCATCATGCACCACAGCATCTCATCTTCGCTGCAGTCAAATAAACTAATATTTGTGCATCTCGCATAGAACTGCTCTGCGGTTTCGTTTGCTCGAAGAAATTCGTCCATTTTTAGTTTTAGACACTGTTTCAGATTATACTGTGGATTATTTTTTTAAACTTTTACGGTTAGTTATTTATAAACTAAATTCACTGTATAATTATGATTTTAATACAAGAAAAAAACTTTACTATTTTTGTATTTATAAATAATATTGTTTAACAATAATAATAATAATATTACGAATTAAATAAATAAAATAAATGAATGAATTATTTTGAATTCATAAAATTGACTGACTGACTACGCATTAATAATTGTCTTATACTATTTTCTATAAATAAAATTATAAATAATATATAAATATCAATAAAAGCTGCCCTAAAATGACCATATAGAAAGTCATTTAAAAAATGACAGAATGTATTTAAAAAAATTCTATTATATCCTCTATTTAAAGTAAAGTTTCTTTACATTTCTTTTAAAATTCAAACAATTGTGTATCAAATAACTTCGTACGATAAGTTCGTAGCGCAAGTGCTACGATGCTACGAGTCTACGTCCGTAGCGCGCCGCGGCTGCTCAAAGACTGGTTTCGTAGAGACAATATTCATCATATTACTATAAAAATAATGTGAACGTACTTTTCGAATGCAAATTAAGAACCATAAATTAATTGTTAGGGATAATTACACTCTTTTGTAATAAACATACAAACAATTTATTCGTATTTCACTGTTTTTTTAAATAAAACTATCTTTTCGGATTATTTCGCGGATTTATTTTGATTTTTGGTTCCCGACGTTTCGAATGCTTTACAGCATCCATGGTCACGGGACTCTCTCCCGTGGATGTCTCTCCCGTGACCATGGATGCTGTAAAGCATTCATTCATCTAAGAAAGTATTACGTATTTCACTGTTTAGTAAACATACGTGGACTTGTGAACTTGCATGAAATTCAACGCGCAAATCTATACATAAATTACATGTCCTGGCTGACTCATTAGCTCATCAACGTTCAAACTAAATCCTTATATTATGTACCTAAAAGTCAACTTTTTTATTTTTCATTAATAAAAAAAAAAATCTTTTTTGCATTGGATAATTCAATTCTTGAGAAAATTAATAGGCACAAATTACAAGAAATTAACATCACTCAACGACTTTAGGGATCAAAATAGTACATAAACAGAATACGCGAGCAAAGCCGCTAGTAAAGCTACTATAGGTACTAATATATTTTTATCAGAACTATATATAAACTAAAATATTAAAAATGCGAACCGGTGCCGAGCAATTCATTCATATAATCACACTGTGAGCACCTTTATTCCGACAACGGTACAAACTCACTTCTCTCTTCGGAGGACTTGCTACCAAACTGTTTGCATTGGTACAATAGATGTTGACTAGAATAGCAAGCTCAGCGATAGACATACCTCTCGAGGCACAGTCTGCTGGATTCTGATCCGTTTTTACATGGTTCCATTGATCACGATCTAATACAGTCAGTATCTCGGATACCCTGTTGCTTACGAATGTTGCCCATCGAGTTGGTTCTCCTCCTAACCAAGCAAGGACCACAGTTGAATCTGACCATGCGTATAAGTTTGTCTTTGGAATCCTCATAGTTTGTGAAACCTCATGAATCAATTTTGTTGCCAGCACTGCCGCACAAAGCTCCATTCGAGGGATTGAGATTTCCTTTTCGATTGGCGCCACCTTAGTTTTGGCAGTCAACAGTCTTACATAAGTATCTTCACCTCCCTTGCATTTTACGTACACGGCTGCCGCGTAAGCTCTCTGAGACGCATCGGCAAAGACGTGTAACTCTCTCAAGTCGGCTGTGGACGTCTCGTTACATGCACGGCCGTATGTTAGTTTAGTATCGAGTTTACACTGGCTGGCAATAGCTTTTTTATAACCATATATCACCACAATGTATTTGTCCAAATAACAGTGAAAATACATGCGTATGGTAAAATGTCCGATACTGACTGATCCCTGTCATTGTACAACTCTAAAAATACAAGCCGCATAGACGTCATTAACGTTATCTACTACACTACCAAAGAAACTTAGAGCTTCTTGAATTAAGGTTTTTACGAGCCATACTGATAGAGTTATTTATTAGCAAGACCTATCAAGAAAAAGTCTAAAGTCGGTCAAAATAGTAATTAAAATAATAATCCTTGCATTGATATAATATACGAGTATATTAAGAATAAGGTACTGCGCTACGACCCGTTGTTCGAATAACAAAGTTTGTGTCATGAAAGCAAATTTTAATTAACAATATTTTAAGATTTCGTTTAAGCAGACGACCTCGAGAGGGAAATTTGTGCAAATTGCCTTAAATTGTACCTAATTTTATCTGGTATTATATTAGACAAGACGATTCTCTTACAATAAGATCTACTTAAATTAAATTCTAAATTTAATAACGATATTTCGGTAGCACTTATTTTATTTATCTAAAACTTTAACGTCACTTTGAAAATAGAGCCTCAGTCAGTAAAAACTCGGCGAAATTATAGATCTTTTTTCTAAAAAATCAGAGGTTTATAACCTTTGATTTATGGCAAAAATATTATCAGAATTAAAATAATACGTCATTCTCAAGGCTTATCTTCTAAAACATCTTTATAGCACTATAATAGCAAATATTATTCAATATTTTTAAATCTAGCAATACAAGCATTGAATATAATATGACCAAAAAAAAGAATTACACCTTTTACTACGAACAAGTCTCACTTTTCTTCTGGTATTTATCTTTGAAAATTTTGCCAAAACACATGGCAATATTTTTTCGAGCGTATATAAATTATTATAGAAACAATTTATGAAATAGAAATGACAGAATGTCGGGTCAAGTTTAGGAAGGCCATATTTTATTTTGCGTCGTGTTTGTTCTTGAAGTAATTGAAGAGTCTACATTCGTATAAATAAATTATAAAGAATTTTTCGTAGATTTACTTTCCCCGAAAACATTTTTTGCCGAACGTGGTTGTATTTAACCGACTTCAAGGTAGGAGGAGGAGGTACTCAATTTATTCGCCGATTTTGAAACAGTTTTCATAATACTTTTTTATGCATAGGTTAAGAGTGATCCCATATAAATTTCTTTACGTTTATATTTTAAGTTTATGTATAACAATATTTATGACATTACAATAAAGTCAGTATATGAAAATTTAAGTTACATAATATATATCCGTCTCAAAGTACATAATTGGTTACTTTAAAGTAATTGGCTACTTTGAAAGAAATTAAAAACTTGAAAACAACACTTTTATGTAACTTTAAAGCAACAACAATGCTCTGGCAACTTGAGTCCGTAAGTATAAAACTCAGACTAAGAAATAATATGAAAGGAGTGTCATGGAACTCATTATGTGTAAAGCTACCAGATGTTGATGAAATTTTCCCACAAAAATATATTTTTAATGTATTTTATAAATTAAGTGTTATAATATTTTAATTTACTATTTATTTTTTTACAATTAATTTATATAAAATATTAATACGGCATCACATAATTTAATACAATATTCTTCACGTTAATTACGTTTGCAGCAGTCAGGAGGTCGAAAAAAAACCGAATAATTAATAATTATTTATTAATTTTACATTAATACAATAATTATATATCTTAAAACTAACGACTTCTTTACTCGAAGTATGAATAAAGAGTGATTGGAAAAGTATTACAATTAATAAAATTACTAAATTAAAACAATGCGGCATTACAAAACTAATTCGAGGAACTCTGCGGTGGTCGCCTGGGAAACGTACATTTATTTGATATATCAGCATATTCGTGAGATTAGGGTTCCGTAACTCCTCCACCCCTAGAGAGGCAACTATTTGAGAATGTTGAGTGAAAAAGTTGCCGGGATACTTGTGTCCTTAAGATTCTCTGGGTTATCTCCATTTTCTAAAATTTCTTCCTTTTTTGCAGTAGTTTTCTTATACTTTCTATAGTGTAATAAAATGATAAGTGCACCTGCACTGAATAGTATTGCGTATACTGGTATGGTTGTATGATATACTGTAATATCCTTTTCGCGTTCAATTTGTAGCGGTGATTGTATCATAATTTTGTCCTTGAGTCTATGGAGTCCTTGGATATTTATAGATGATACATTAATAGTTGTATCTAGGTGCGCAATTTCATCGGGTATCTTCATCAATTTTAAGGGCTGTCCTCTTACTTCGTTGTTGTCATTAATTAACGTAAATTCTTCGGATATGATTTTGCATCCTAGGGGAATAGTTATTAGGTAGCTGCCTTTTAATGAAGTGAATTCCTGTTTACCGCATGATATTTGTATCTTTTGATGCTAGGGGAACGATATAAGGTAGTGCATATCGTCTAGTTTCTCCATTGATTCTCGTAGAAGATTGACTGTAGTTAAGTGACAAGATTCCTTCAAAATCTGTTTAACAATTAGCTCGTGGATACAATCTGAATTTGTACGAATCTGATGATTGAGTTCCATTTCACAGAGATACCAGCTGCTATGTCTCGGGCATTCGGCCTCTATGTACACGAATGAATTCTCGTTAGTTGCAATGAAAGGAGAGGATGGGATGAGAGCCTGCGATTTTTTATTAGGTACTACTGCTAATCTATATAATAAAAAATTATCCTTAGAAATAATAGGAAATCGGAATATAAAAACTATTTGCTTATTAGCATAATAGGAAGCTGGTTGGATTATATTATAATATTCTCTTAATTCTAAATTTAAAATACACTCTTTTCCGTAGATATTCTTAAGCTTATCTATCATTGAACTTAATACATCTATACTAATCATGGAATGGTGCATGCTTGATGCATGAATAAAAGCTAAACTATTTTCTATTCTTAGTAATTCGTTCATTAAATCGTCTATGTTTTCACTTAGTATTACTAAAAGTTGGGCAAATTTGGCATATTTAATTAAAGTTGTATTATCTATATTGTTAGAAAGTATTAACATTAAGGTGCTATTAATTTTACTTTGATTTTCTACTAGTTGAGTCAAAACGCTATTATATTTAGTGATCCATTCTTTGCTTATGCTTAACTGATTATTAAGTTCATTTGTAATTTTTTCCTGATTACTTTCTAATAATTTTATAGCTTCATTATACCTTAAAGCATCCGTATAATCTAAGTTTCCTGTAATACTTTTTATAACTGTTCCGAGTCCATCAATAATCCCTCTTTTAGACCTGTTGGGTTGTAAGGATTTAATTTGATATAATATGTCATCTAATTTGTTGAGCAAGTAATTTATTTGAATTTCATATACTGAATAAGTGTCATTAGGTAATTGATTTTTGTAATTGTGCAAATGGTTTTGTAGACTGTGTGTTTTATCTTCTATGTCGTCGAGTTTTATGTATTGTAAGAATGTGTGGTAATGTGTCGTTGTTTTCATCGGTCCAAGTTTGTAGGGAAGTATTCCAGGTCCATCATCAAGACTCTCGAATTTAATTTCCTGAAGATGTACCAGGGGTAGTATCATGAGCACCAGGATTCTGTAACAAATTCGCTGCTTTAGGGATTCGCTTTAGTCGCGACTTTGCTATAGGGCCACGTTTCTTTTTAGTGTAAATATGTATAGGTAAATCGGCAAGAACAGTGTCCTGTGTATATCTTGGGGCTGTTTTTTGTCTTTCAGCTAATGGGTTCCTTACAAAGATCTGCTGATCGGGCGCATACTCTATCTCAGGTTCGCGTATCTGATTCCTATTCTGGATAAGGGTCGTTCGGTTACTAAGGGACGATTGGTTAACAATGTCATATACTTTTTTCATCTGTTCTTTATGTGTCTGTAAGTATTACTGTAACGTTTGTTGAGTAAGGTCAATGTCAAGGCAGTCTCTAGGGTCAAAGTATCCGTTTAACAAATCAAAGGGTCTACATCTCGTGAAACTGTGTATAGAACTGTTGTAAGCTATTAAAGCGTAAGGCATAAGGTTCACAATGGGTTCGTCTTTATGTTGTAATTTTAAAAGTCGCAGATGTTCAAGGAGAGTCGAATGGAATTTTTCAATATTTCCGTTGCCATTAGGAGAATGAGCTAAAGTTTTGTGGTGGTTAATTTTGTGAAGTCTGGTAAATTCGTTAAATAATTGGTTAGCAAATTCTGTTCCATTGTCAGTAATAATAGTCATAGGGACGCCATGGTGGGTACAATATTGTAAAAGGGCTTGTAACACGCTAACGGCTGTTCCATCACGTAAGTAATAAGCTTGTCCGTATTTGGTAAAGACGTCTATGAAAGTCACGTATTTGATATTCTGTATTGTCAGTAAGTCTATGTGAATAATTTCAAATGGTTTAGTCGCTGGAGGTACAACGTTAAATTGAGGTCTGACCGGATTTCGATCGTACTTGGCTTGTCCGCATATAGTACATTCTGTGATAAATTTAGTTATTTGATCCTTCATTTTCGGCCAAAAGTAATTTCGTGATAATGATAAATAGGTTTCATTGATTCCTCGGTGATTCGTCTTACCCTCATGATAATGACGAATGATTTCCTGCTGTCTAGGGTATTCTTTAACGTTTTCTATTTCAGTTTTTACTAAGACTAGATTCATTGCGGATGATTTAAATTTACTTTGTAAAATTGGAATTATTGTATACATATCTAAAGTAGGATAAACTAAAATAGCTGTCTTAATTTTAGAACTAATGTATTCCTTTACGGCGTTAACTAAATCTTCCTCTAAATTAGATTTACTTAACTGGATGTTAATTCGAGTGTGTTTTTCGAAAGGCTTTGATACTGAAGCTTTTCTTTTTATACCGTCAACTATAGTAAAGATTACTTGTCTATGAAATTTATTAAGAGGTTCATCAGTAATCGGTATTTCTAAAATAGGGTTTTCGTGACTACTGTGTGCCGTTAATGTAGAAGAGTTAGATTGATGAGATGCGGAAATTGTTGAAGAGTTTGATTTTTCAG